GATAGCAGCTTCACAAGTCTTGCATCCATTGAACTTGTGAGTTTTTGGACAGTTTCTGCTTGAATTTGTTTGCAAGATGTCAGAATAGCCTCCCAGAGCTGCTGTTTGGATGTAAACTACCTCCCACCACCGTCATAGATCTTTTGCTTGAGGATGCTCCAAAGGTTCTCAATAGGATTGAGGTCAGGGGAGGATGGAGGCCACACCATGACTTTCTCTCCCTTTATCCCCATAGCAGCCATTGATGCAGAGGTATTCTTTGCAGCATGAGATGGTGCATTGTCATGCATGAAGATGATTTTATTACGGAAAGCATAGTTTTTCCTTCTGTACCAGGGAAGAAAGTGGTCAGTTATAAACTCCACATACTTTTCAGAGGTCATCTTTACACCTTTGGGGACCCTAAAGGAGCCAACCAGCTCTGTTCCTATGATTCCGGACCAAAACATGACTCCACCACCGCCTTGCTGACGTCGCAGCCTTGTTGGAACAGGGTGGCCGTCCACCAACCATCCACTACTCCATCCATCTGGACCAGCCAGGTTTGCACGGCACTCATCAGTGAGCAGGACTGTTTGAAAATTAGTCTTCATGTATTTTTCCGCCCAATGCAGCCATTTCTGCTTGTTAGCATTGGTTAGTGGTGGCCGAATAGAAGGTTTATGCAGTTGCAAGACTCTGGAGGACTCTACACCTTGATGTCCGTGGGACTCCAGAGGCACCAGCATCTTCAAATATCTGTTTGCTGCTATGTAATGGTATTTTAGCAGCTGCTCTCTTGATCCGATGCATGGATCTGGCAGAAATCTTCCTCAATGTGCCTTTATCTGCACGAACCCATCTGTGCTCTGAATCAGCCACAAATCTCTTAATAGTGCGATGATCACGCTTAAGTTTTCATGAAATATCTAATGTTTTCATACCTCGTCCAAGGCATTAAACTATTTCACTCTTTTCGGCAGCAGAGAGATACTTTTTCTTCCCCATATTGCTTGAAAATGGTGCTCTGCTTAATAATGTGGAACACCCTCTTTTTAGTAGTTTTTCCTTAAATTAGGCTCACCGGCCAATCTGATAATCACAGGTGTGTCCGAGATTGTTTTCAGTGATCAAAAGAGCCCTGACACACAATGCCATCCATGAGTCAAACTGAAAAACAAAATATTTAATCTTTGTGACACTTAAATAGAATTTGCATAATAATTTGGAACAGGGTGTATACCCAACAAGGACCAGCGATGTACTGGTACATCACTGGACTTTGAAATGGTTATACCAGGATGATGCCTACAGCTGCAGGCATCATCCTGGTATCGTTTTTTTCAGCCGGCGATTGGCTTTCATGTAACAGCAATCCTAGTGGCTAATTAGCTGCAGGATTGCTTTTACAAGCAGCAGGAGATGATGCCCCCTCCCTCTCCCGCTGCCTTCCACAGCCTTCTCGGGCAGTCTCATGCCATCGGGGGAACCTGAGAATGCAGCCGGTGTTTCTACCAGCTGACCTAAGAGCTGATTGGAGACCAGAGTGGTGCCAATCATCTCTATAGTCTAAGAATTCAGAAGCTACAAGCATTTCATCACTTCAGTTTCGCAGGATATAAACAGCGCCATTTGTAAATTGGGAAAGCATTTGATCACACCGATTTTGGTTTGATTAGATAATGTAAGGGCAGAGGAGATATCCAGAGTCTGATAGATTTCTCAAAAAAGAATATATGACAATGCCCATTGAAGTTATAGGGGATATTTGCATTCCCTGTTATAGCATTAAAAGTGATAAAAAAAAAAATGAAAAGTACAATGTAAAAATAATAAAATAAATCAAAATAACTTGCCCCTCCCATGCGCGCACACCTGTGTGCACATTGCCTTGACCCTGTGGCGGTATGTAAACAGCGGTTGCACCATGCATGTGAGGTATTGCTGTGAACGTCAGATCAAGGGCAGTAATTCTAACACTAGACCTCCTCTGTAAATCTTAAATGGTAGCTTTTAAAGACTTTTAAAGCTTTGCCTATGGATATTAACAATATTTGCAGTTTGTTGCCATTGCACGGGGCATGCGCAGTTTTAAAGCATGTCATGTTTGGTATCTATTTACTCGGCATAACGTTATCTTATATATTTTACCAAATAATTGGCCAATATATTGTGTTTTTGTGCATTAAAAGTAAAAAAAGTGTATTTTTTTTTAAAAATGTGCTTTTGAAAAATCGCTGCGCGAGTACTATGTGCCATAAAAAATATATAATGTTTGGGGGTTTAAATTAATTTCCTAGCAAAAAATACTGATTTTTTTCATGTGAACAAAAAGTGTCAGAAAAGGCTTGGTCTTCAGGTGAGGAGTGAGTGATGTGTGATGTGTGGCATAAACGTCTAATACTGGGCATAGAAGGCCCCCACCCCCCAAAACGACCCCCTTTTGGAAAGTAGACACTCCAAACTATTTGCTGAGAGGCATGTTGAATCAATAGAAGAATTCCTTTTTTCCCACAAGTTTTTGGAAAATGACAAAAAAAATATATTTTTTTTTACACAAAATTAGAATGTCATTTAAATGATTTACTGCTCACACATGCCATGGGTATATGTGGAATGACTCCGCAAAATACATTCTGCTACTTCTCCTGAGTATGGGGATACCACATGTGAGAGATGTTTTGGCAGTCTAGCCAAGTACAGGACCCCAAAATCCAATAAGCACCTTCAGGCTTTTAAAGGGCTTTATTTCCTCATTACACTTCCAGACTACCTATCACAGTTTCGGAGGCCCTGAAATGCCAGAATAGAACCTAACTCCCCCAAATGACCCCTTTTTGGAAAGTAGACACCCCATGGAATTTGATAAAAAGCACGGTAAGTATTTTGAAGATCTCATTTGTTGCCACAAGTTTTTGGAAAATGAAGAAAAAAAACAAAAACTTATTTTTTCTATTCTTTTTTTATATTTCAAAACCTTGTGAGAAAAAATGAGATCTGAAAAATACTCACCATGCCTCTTTTTAAATTCCTTGGGGTGCTACTTTCCAGAAATGGGTCATTTGGGGGGGTTTGATGCTATCCTGGCATGTCAGGGCCTTCAAAACTGTGATAGGTAGTGAGGAAGTGTAATGAGGAAGTTACGCACCTTCAGGCTTTCAAAGTGGTCATTGGATTTCAGGCTCCTGTATGTGACTAAGCTCCCAAAAAGTCTCACACACATGGTATCCCCATACTCGGTAGAAGTAGCAAAATGTATTTTGGGGTGTAATTCCACACATACCCATGGCTTATGCGAGAAATAAATCATTGAAATGACAACTTTGTGTAAAAAAAAGAATTTTTTTTTTTCATTTTCCAGAAACTTGTGGAAAAAAAATAAATCTTGCATGGACTCAATATGCCTCTCAGCAGATAGCTTAGGGTGTCTACTTTCCAAAAAGGGGTCATTTGAGGGTGTTTGTACTATCCTGGTATTTTAGCACCTCAAGAAATGTGATGGGCAGTCAGAAAGTAAAAGCTGTGTAAATTCCATTATCTATACCATAGTTTGTAGACGCTATAACTTTCACACAAAGCAATCAATATACACTTACTGGGATTTTTTTAACCAAAAACATGTAGCAGAATACATTTTGGCCTAAATTTATGACGAAATTTTAGTTTTTTTGAATTTTTTTTTATGACCAAAATGAGAATGTATTGTTTTTTTTTTTAAAAAAAACAATTTTCTTCAAAATGTTTCTGGTTATAGCGCCAAAAATAAAAAGTGCACAGGTGATCAAATACCACTGAAAGAAAGCTCTATTTGTGTGAAAAAAAGGACGTAAATTTTGTTTGGGTGCAGCATTGCATTGCAATTACCAGTTAAATTAGTGCAGCGCCGAGTAGCAAAAAGAGGCCTGGTCAGGAAGGGGAGTAAATCCTCAGGAGGGCAAGTAGTTAAATGCACAAAAACACATTATAATACCAAATTGTTTGGTAAAATATAAAAGAGAATGATACGCTGAGTAAATAGATACCAAACATGTCACACAGAAAGAATCAATGAACTACCACGGAGCTCCACAGTGCTGTGATAGTTCATTGAGAACTACAAGCTGACAGCCACTAAGGCTGTGAGGAAAGAACAAAAAGAGCAGCATTGCATTGCAATTACCAGTTAAATTAGTGCAGCGCCGAGTAGCAAAAAGAGGCCTGGTCAGGAAGGGGAGTAAATCCTCAGGAGGGCAAGTAGTTAAATGCACAAAAACACATTATAATACCAAATTGTTTGGTAAAATATAAAAGAGAATGATACGCTGAGTAAATAGATACCAAACATGTCACACAGAAAGAATCAATGAACTACCACGGAGCTCCACAGTGCTGTGATAGTTCATTGAGAACTACAAGCTGACAGCCACTAAGGCTGTGAGGACTTGTAGTTCATTCAAAAAACAAACAAGATATACCTGTGCTCAAATCCCAATAGCTAGTACATGTATTTATCTATCAGGTGCTAAAGGGGTGTAACCACATATTAATAGTAGAAATTCTGAAGGGCCCTCTGCACACTGGTATATCCCCTTTCCAGCAGACTTTTGAATAAAAAATAGGGATATTTGGTTCACACATATTGCAATCCATGTTTAACTACCTGCCGACCGCAGATAGCCGAATGACGGCTTCACTGCGGCCGGCCAGTTCTGAGTGGACGTCATATGACGTCCCCCCAGAACACGCTCTCCTGCGCGCCCCAGGGGGCGCGCACACCCGGCGATCTCCGTGATCGCTGTGTCCTACGGACACAGCTGATCACGTGATGTGGTAAAAGGCCAATCACAGCGGCCTTTTACCACCTGATCAGCGGTGTCCAATGACACGCTGATCAGAGGAAAATGCAAGTGCCGGTTCTCGGCTGCACTTTCCTCACCCTGTCAGATCGTGAGGAAAGTACTGCCGAGAACCGGCAGTTGTCAGAGCGGGGATCGGCACCGATCATCAGGGCACTGATGATCAGTGCCCTGATGATCGGTGCCCAGCAGTGCCACCCGCAAGTTCCGCCCACCTGTGCCCAGCAGTGCGCCCACTAGCTCCGCCCACCTGTGCCCAGCAGATCACCCACCTGTGCCCAGCAGTGCACCCACCTGTGCCACTCTGCAGTGCCACCTACCTGTGCCCAGAAGTGCCACCTACATGTGCCCAGCAGTGCCACCCACCTGTGCCCACCCACCTGTGCCCACCAGTGCCACCCACCTGTGCCCACCCACCAGTGCTGCCCACCAGTGCCACCCACCAGTGCAGCCCAGCAGTGCTGCCAGTCAGTGCCACCAGTCAGTGCCCAGGGGTTGTGCCAGTCAGTGCCGCCAGTCAGTGCCCAGCAGTGATGCCAGTCAGTGCCGTCTATCAGTACCCATCATCAGTGTCACCTATCAGTGCCGCCTATCAGTGCTGCATATTAGTGCCGCCTATCCATGACACCTCATTAGTGCTGTCTATCAGTGCCGCCTATCCGTGCCCTTTAGTGCTGCCTATCAGTGCCCATCAGTGCCAGTGCCCATCAGTGCTGCCTCATCAACGCACATCAGTGAAGGAGAAAAAATGCCTGTTTGAAAAATTTTATAATAGAAACAAAGAAACTTTTTTTTTTTCAAATTTTTTGCACTTTTTTATTTATAGCGCAAAAAGTAAAGCGCCCAGTGGCGATTAAATACCACCAAAAGAAAGCTCTATTTGTGAGAAAAAAAATGATCAAAATTTCATATGGGTAGAATGTTGCATGACCGTGCAATTGTCAATCAAAAATTGGCCTGGTAAATAAGGGGGTATAAGTGCCTGGTAGGCAAGTGGTTAAGCTGACGCAGTTGGCCAGCTTAAACATGTAATGCAATATGTGTGAACCAAATATCCCTATTTTTTATTCAAAAGTCTGCTGGAAAGGGGATATACCAGTGTGCAGAGGGTCCTTCAGAATTTCTAGTTCATTCATTCACAGAATGACCCGGCCTTGTGGGCGGAGCCCCGTACAGCTGCGCTGTTTTTAAATCTGACAGCTAGTACTCCCCAGACTTCTGTCATTGAGGGGAGGGAAGGGGGGTCAGTGGACAGCAGCTGCAGCACTGAGAACATGTTACATGTTCCACAGTAAAAACAGGTAGAACATGTATGCCCCTTGAGGGTTAAGAACTGATGCGAATGTACAGTGCTGTGTAAATTGATGGCGCTATAAAAGTACCTGAAATAAATAAATAAATATATATAGAAAAATTTCAGTTATATGACAAATGATTTTTAATGTCTAATTCAAATTATCTTATATCAACGTATCTAATTATATATCTTAAGTCTTGAGTTATGGTACTACTATATATTCCAGATAACATCATGGTCAGCATTGTGGTTAACACTTCTGCCTCGCAGCACTAGTGTTTCCAGGTTCATATCCCAACCATGGTGCTAAATGCATGAAGTTTGCATGTTCTGCCTGTGTGGGTTTCCTCCCACACTTCAAAGACATGCTGGTAGTTGTTTTGGCTACTCTCTAAATTGTCCCTATTATATGTGAGTTAGGGACTTTAGATTGTACACTCCTTGAAGGCAGAGCCTGATGTGAATGTACAATGTATACTGCTCAAAAAAATTAAAGGAACACTTTGAAAACACATCAGATTTCAATGGGGAAAAGTATCATGCTGGATATCTATACTGATATGGACTGGGTAATGTGTTAGGAACATAAGGATGCCCCATTGTTTGATGGAAATAAAAATTATAAACCTACAAAGGACTGAATGCAAAGACACTCTGAAAATCAAAGTGGAAAAAATGATGCAGCAGGCTAGTCCATTTTGCTGAAATTTAATTGCAACAACTCAAAATGGTACTCAGTAGTTTGTATGGCCCCCACCTGTTTGTATGCATACCTGACAATGTCGGGGCATGCTCCTAATGAGACGACGGATGGTATTCTGGGGCATTTCCTCCCAGATCTGGACCAGGGCATCACTGAGCTCCTGGACAGACTGAGGGGCAACCTGGCGGTGTCAGATGGACCAAAGCATGATATCCCAGGGGTGGCCTATTGGATTTAGGTCAGGCAAGCGTGGGGGCCATTCAATGGTATCATTTCCTTCATCCTCCAGGAACTGCCTGCATACTCTCGCCACATAAGGTCAGGCATTGTCCACCAGGAGGAACACAGGACCTACTGCACCAGCGTAGCATCTGACAATAGATACAAGGATGTCATCCCGATACCTTACGGTAGTCAGGGTGCCATTGCCTAGCTTGTAGAGGTCTGTGTTTTCCTCCATGGATATGCCTCCCCAGACTATCACTGACCTGCCACTAAAATGGCTGAATGATCTTACAAGCAGCATAATATTCTCCATGGCTTCTCCAGACCCTTTCATGTCAGTCACATGTGCTCAGCGTGAACCTGCTCTCATCTGTGAAAAGCACGTGGCTCCAGTGGTGGACCTGCCAATTCTGCTGTTCAATGGCAAATGCCAATCGAGCTCTATGATGCCGGGCAATGAGCACAGGGCGCAATAGAGGAGGTCGGGCTCTCAGGCCACCCTCATGAAGACTGTGTCTGATTGTTTGCTCAGAGACATTCACACCAGTGGCCTGCTGGAGGTCACTTTGTAGGGCTCTGGCAGTGCTCATCTTGTTTCCTCCTTGCACAAAGGAGCAGATACCGGTCCTGCTGATGGGTTAAGGACCTTCTACGCCCCTGTTCAGCTCTCCTAGAGTAACTGCCTGTCTCCTGGAATCTCCTCCATGCTCTTGAGACTGTGCTGGGACACATCAAACCTTCTGGCAATGGCATGTATTGATTTACCATCCTGGAAGAGTTGGACTGCCTGTGTAACCTCTGTAGGGTCTGGGTATTGCCTCGTGCTACCAATATTGACACTGACCCTAGCCAAATGCAAAACTAGTGAAAAACAGTCAGAAAAGATGAGTAGGGAAGAAATGTCAGTGGCCTCCATCTGTAAAAACCTCCTGTTTTGGGGGTCATCTCATTGTTGCTCATTTAGTACACCTGCTGTTAATTCCATTAACACCAAAGCAGCTGAAACTGATTAGGAACCCCTTCTGCTACTTAACTGACCAGATCAATATCCAAGGAGTTTAATTGACTTGATGCTATACTCTGATTAAAAAGTGTTCCTTTAATTTTTACGAGCAGTGTATAGCGTTGTGTAAATTGACAGTGCTATGTAAGTACCTGAACTCATAAAAATGCATGTTTTTCATGTGTTTCTTGCAATTTTTAGATGGGTTTCATATAATGTAAACAAAAGAGCTGACATTGCAAATAAAAAGTTTGTGTGTGTGTGTGTATGGGGGCTCGCTCTTCCACCCTTCTTTCCTTGCCTGCAGGACTGTATGCATAAGGGTGTGTTAGTGATTTTGGGGGAAGCCACACTTTTTTTTTTTTTGGCCTTGGGGTTCCCCTTCAGATCCATGACAGTTATATCTCTGTTATATGACAAATAATGTTTAATGTCTAATTCAAATTTTCTTATAATATCTACTTATAATTATATACGTATCTTAATTCTTGAATCATGGTACTACTATATATTCTATTCTATTTATTGCTATGGGCAGCATAGTGGCTTAGCGGTTGGCACTTCTGCCTATCTCTTAGATCAGGGCCAAATGCGAGGGATAATCCCTTTGTGGCTAGCACAGATGGAGTGGGTGGCTTGCAATGGAGCGGGTGGCTTACAATGCAATCCCCAGGCCCCGGAGATCGATTTGCATTCCACTTGTGCTCCAAGCCTCATTGTGAAGCTGACTTCCAGTTTCCGACTTCCAGTTTCTTCTTCGCCGCCTTGGGAGACACAAGGAGAGGCCCGCTCTCCACCGCCTTGGGGGACACGAGGAGAGGCCCACTCTCCACCGCCTTAGGGGACACGAGGCCCGCTCTCCACCGCTTTGGGGGACACAAGGCCCGCTTTACACCGCCTTGGGGGACACAAAGTCTGCTCTACACCACGTTGGGGGACACGAGGAGAGGCCGCTCTCCACTGCCTTGGGGGACACGAGGAGAGGCCCGCTCTACACCACCTTGGGGGACATGAGGAGAGGCCTGCTCTCCACCGCCTTGGGGGACATGAGGCCTGCTCTACACCATCTTGGGGGACACGAGGAGAGGCCTGCTCTACACCGACGTGGGGGACATGAGGAGAGGCCCGCTCTCCACCGCTTTCGGGGACACGAGGAGAGGCCCACTCTACACCACCTTGGGGGACACAAGGAGAGGCCCACTCTACACCACCTTGGGGGACACGATGAGGGCCTGCTCTACACCAACGTGGGGGACACGTGAAGAAGAGACCCGCCAACGGTGCACATCCCTACACCTGCCAGCTTAAGGTAAATGACATTTTTTGTGCTGCGCTCTGGGGACATTAAAAAAAACAACCATGCCATTTTAGTACTGCTCTCTGGGGCCTAAATATTTCAAAAAGTAAAAAAAAAAGAAAAAAAAAAAAGCACAGCACACCTATGCACAATCAGCTACAAATTTCATTTAAAACTAGAAAAGCTACAATTTCTGGGGAAATTGTGTGAAGTGTTCTTGCCTCCACCAGTAGTCTACAACTTGAGTGGGCGGAGTAACTGGGTGGAGTGGCTTGAGTAACTGTTGTGTGTTTTGGAGTGGCTGGAGTAACTGTGAAAAGGCTGGACTGGGCAGAGTAACTTTATGGAGTGGGCAGAGTAACTGTGTGGAGTGTTTGGAGTGAGTAAAGATGGTAAACATTACACTAACCAACTGATTGATCAAATTTAAAAAGTGCACATGGCAAGCTTGATAGAGTGAGAAATGCATTTCAACTTTTAATTATTTATATAGCACATTTAATTGCAATGTTGTTGCCCAAAGTGCTTCACAGTTACATTAAAACATACATTTATAAAAACATTAGCAGCATTATCACCTCAAATACTCTCTACTGTAGAAAACGTATTTCCAAACCTTTAACCAGAAGCTGGCCAAACTGTCACTAATTCAAAATTAGATTTCAAATAGGGCAGAGAAGAGCGGTTAAAAACAAACTGCTCCAAATTGCTCACTTCACTGGCGTCTTCAAATGGTCGTAGTTTTAAAAACTATAAATCCTACAGCGAAGAGCTTTATATTGTGAGAATCACAAGACCCAGACCTACATTTTGATGCATAGTATGTCTCTGAAATATTAAAAATGAAGGCACAGTCGCAGTTTAGAAATTGCCCTTCAAATTTGAGGTGGCTAGAGTGCAGTGTAACGGAACCGGAACCCAGACCGCACTGAGTTTTTCCGTTATAGCACAACTTCCCCTGTCCGAACACCATCCACGGACCACACCCTCGAAATCCCTCAGGAAAATAGACAATACCCAGCT